AACCACAATCAATCATTCATAATTGAGGCTATAATAACCATATAATAACCATACTGTGTCCTCAATTATGTACAAACACTCAGCGATCACTGAGTCTTTGTATTCACTCTCCTTCCTGACACACTGTCACAGGAGGCTGGGCGAGAGGAGCTAAGCCTGCTGTCACAGCGCTGGCTGTCTCCGCCCACACATCGCTCTGCTGATCTGTGATAGGAGGCTGAGCGGTGTGGGAGGAGAGATGCCAACCGCTCACAGCGCTACTCCCGCAGCGCTCGGTCACCTGTGACAGTTCCTCTGCTCCTTGCTGGGACACAGAGCAGCGCCCAGCGGGGAGAAAAGAAAGCAGGGATGCACCGATGTATCGGCCAGAAAATGGCACTTTCCGCATTATGCCAAAAGTGCCATTTTCGACCGATATGTTTCGGCAGCCGATATATCGGTGCACTCCTAATAAAAAAATTCAGATGCCCTTTCAAATAATTTTTAGATCTTGATATTATTAGTATCATTGTCAGCTGAAATATTCAGGCTTATGGCATAGAGCTTGGTGCCAAACACAAGTGCCCCTTTCCAACCAAACAGCAATAACCTTTCTTATGAAAAATATGGAGGGCTGTCATGGCTGACCTTGTCAGGCTGTCATACTTACTCTCTAACTTCAATACTTTTGAAGATTTTTTTTTAAAGATTTTCTGACTTTGAACAAGTATACATATCAGGAAAGCCAATATAAAGTCAGATGGGTAATTGAATACTTAGGGCCAGTGGCGTAACAACCGGGGGGGCACTTGCCCTGGGCGCAGGACTGAGGGGGGGCGCCGTCACGACCCGCTAAATGAAGCACCTGGCTCCCTCTCTCTGCCACATTCACCCGGCTGTCATCGGGCGGCCGCTCGCTCCTCCGTTGCAGGTTAGTGACACAAGAGGGTCAGCATTAGAGCCAGGCACCTAGCACATCAGTAGTGGCAGCCGCCATTTTTCTCTCAGGGAAAGTTTCCTTTATGCTGTGTTTATAAAGTCTGCTTGCTTTGAAAACTCACAGCCTGGTGCTGAGAACAAAAGTGCTGCTTGTTCAATATAGCTGATCGCGCGCCGGTGACAGCTGATCGGCCGTCGCCGACACTTCATCCACTGCCGCCGCTGACACCTCATCGCCGGCCGCCCTCCGCCACTCACAGTCCGCCGCCGCTCACAGTCGCCGCCCGCCGCGGCGCCGCCACTCACAGCCAGCTGTCAGGTGAGCAAGTCTGCGGCTTGAATCCTGTGCCCGGGTCTGCCAAAGGAGTGTACCCGGGCACAGGATTCCAAAACCTGACTGTCCGGGTCATTCCTGTACGGGTGGCAACCCTAATAAGCCCCCTGGTGTTTCGGCAGCTTGGATCTATACAGCAGGAAAACTATGTTTGTATTCCATGCTTTTATTAATCTTCATATGCACCCCAGCATTTTCTGTGTTCTTTGCAGCAAGAGTATGATAAGTAGTGTTGATGTTTGGCTGTTACCTGGCAGGGCCTAGAATGTTTTATCCAGCTTTCTCAATGTACATTGTTCTCTTGTAGCATTGTCCTTTTCTGTTTTATGATCCTCTATATCAGGGGTGTCAAGCTTAATTTAATTGTCGGCCGCAACAACATTATGGTTGCCCTCAAAGGTATCTGTAAGACGATATAAATGTATCTAATCTTTATCAGAATTGCCTCTGCATTCAATTATCACTGGTTTTAGTAATAACTTAATACCTAGATCGGAACGTAGAAGTCTAGGAAATGGCCATTTCCTTAGATTTGGCTACCCCTAATCTAAGGAAATGCCATGATCTAAAACTGACAGGACAGCACAAGATATTGTAATATATGTTCCAAGTGAGCTAAGGATGTCTAGGAGTCCTGCATAGTAACATCGATTTCAATGATTCTTCTACCTTCGAAACGCATTTGCTCAATCCTAATATTATACAGTATAGCATGCATAACCAATGCCCCCATGACACTATATGCAAACATCAACTCTGTAATTAAGCTGCTTAAAATTAAAGTAATAAAACACTTTTGTAATATTGTGTTTTGGCTGACTCAGTTGTGTCTGCTGTTTTAATTACCTCATGCTAATAACACAAATGTATATAAAAAAGATATTTAGACAGAATTTTGCTAGGTTTTCGATAGGGTTAAAACATCTGTTACACTTTTATTACTGCTATGTCTTCAGAGTGGAAGTTTACCCTTACTTCCTCTGTGGTCCTTGGGACAGGAAGGAAAGGAAAATCTTCCCTATGAGGGCACAAAAATCAAAATAAATCGCTTCCAAGCAGGAGCGTCCCGAGGCTGGGTGACATCTGGACCGGAGACTGGGTGACACCCCGCCGTGACGTCTTGGTGATGGATGCCGGCAGAGAAAGGGGGGACTATAACCCGGCAGGATGAGGCATGCCGCCGGGTCCCCTCCTCTCTCCTGACACTGTTGGACTCTCCATAGGGCGTGACACCAAAATGACTGTCAGTCATTTTGGTGTCACCCCTCCAATAGTGGCACCCGGGTGTGGGCCGCACCCCCCTTGTGACGCCACTGCTTCCAAGTATAAATGCTTCTACTGCTGTCTCTGACTCTGTTAGTAAGATGCTGGTAATTTCCTGTCCCACTGACCACAGAGGAAGAGGTGACAAGTTATTCTTCATGTACTCCTGTCATAGTATACCAGTACCTAAACTGGTCCTAGAAATCACAAGCAGATAACCAAGAAAAACGACTTTGAAAGTCTTTTCAACCACTCTGGGTAGGCCCTCCTTGGCCCTATGCCAAGGAGCTCTTGTATGTAACCCGACGAAAACTCGCCGCAAAATGACATTCAGCCCGCATGTCAACAGATGGGCGGAGCGAGACGTGACGTCACGGCTACCAATACAATGGGATTTATATTTTTGTGCGTTTTGTAGAGCGTTCGTCGAGCGTAGAACGCGCTACAAAACGTTCAGGTGTGAACGAGCATTCGTTTGGACTTGATGGACTAATGTCTTTATTCAACCTCAAATACTATGTAACTATGTAACGAGGGCTTAAGCGTATCTGAACCACAAAATAAAAATGTATTATATTGCAGCTGGCTGCATTCATTTTCTTTTTTTTAGGCTTTTTTGCCTTTATTTTCACCTGGAGATCCGGCCAGTAACACTTCCTGTGTTAGGGTGGCTCCACTCTGTGGAGAAGCAACAGAGCCCCTTTTGGACAGCAGCACTGTCACCTTGTGGAGAGGATAGTGTTAGATGGACTTGGCTAAAAGATAAATCCCAACTCCAGCTAAGCCCTTTTCAGGGCAACCAAAAGACTACCTTTGCAGTGGGGCTACAAGTGGTGTCTGCAGTGGCGTTTATTTACACACCGATCTTCAATTGATACAGGAGTGCCACGTTTCCTTATAGTTACAGTGTCCATCTACTAGTTTGGAAGATGGAGGAGAAGAGAATAGAAGGGAGCAGGGGAATGGCTCGCTCTGCTGTCCCCGTGTGTTTGTGGAGACACACAGCTTACTAGTAGGGATGAGCTGGGGCGTGCAAACCCAGTTCACCCAAGCCCACTCAAAAGTGTGACCGACACCCCCCTTCCAATCAGATCCGGCAGGGGCATTCCCGCCCCTTTGCGGTGCATAGCCACGGGTGGGGAATGTGCCTGCCGCAACTAATTGGGCCAGTATGGGACGTTGTTGGTCACAGTTTTAAAAGAAAACTAAAGCCAAATCTGTGACCCCAAATCAGAATCTAGCCGGCTACTGCCTGCTATTTGCTGACAACACAGAGCTGCTCTGCAGCTGGAAAAGATCCCGACAATATTGTTAGGGTCCCCTCACTGCCTGATTGATAGCTGACTCAGCCTCGCCAGAGCCAGCTGTGCCTGCCCCATCCCCTGTCTGTCCCTCCAATGAGAGCTGGAGGAACAGAGAGGGGAGGGGAGAATCCCTGCAGGGACAAGTGACTGACAGTTACTGCTCCCTGAAGGGAGAAGACTATGAGTTGACTGATCCATGCTCAGCTCTCGATCTATAGAGCTGGCCTGTGACACCTGCAGTGTCACGTGCCGGTTCTAAGTATTGGGAAGAGTACATTTTACTCTCTCAGTACTTCTCCTTTAGGCAGGCTTGTGCGAACACTGTGGGGAACTTGGCTTACACTAGGGATGCACCCATACCAATTTTTCGTTTATCTAGTACCAATATTATTTTTCTGGTACTCGCCGATACCGAAAGTCCCAATAAGGAAGCCGTGCAGTGTTTAATGACTCTCTGCACAGCTTCCTGATTAGCCAGGAAACCGGCTTCATGCTCCCTCGTCACCAGATAATGAGAAAGCGGATAATGACTCGCCGCCCGCTTTTTGATTGCCCAACTTTCTGACCAATTAGGAACCTGGGGGGAGAGTCATTGCACGCCGCCTGCCTTCCTGATTGGCCAGGAAGCCAGCTCCATGCTCCCTGGTGACGAGGAAGGAAGGAAGGCAGCGTGTAATGACTCGCCCCCCAGCGTCCTGATGCCGGCAGTTCCGGTATCAGAATATGCATCAGGAGTATTTGGTCGAGTACGAGTACTCGCCCAAATACTCAATATCGGCACCGATACTAGTATTGGTGCATCCCTAGTTTGCACCTAGCCCCAGCTCAGCGCAGGGGTGGCTCCATAGGACCCCACAACGGAAAGGAGCTACCCTAAAACAGGATGTCAGGACCAGCTTATCCTGCAGGAAGATAAAACTTTTAAACATGAAGGAGCAGCATCCATTGTAACTGATTTAAACAGCATATGAAATAGCTTAAAACCCTTGTGACTTTACTATCACTTTAAGGACTGGTAGATCAGCCATCACTCAGGTGTAACCTGTCAGCATGTGGTTTCCTGTCGATTATCTGTAAAATAGTGTACATTGTTAAAAAACGAGCCTTGTTTACTGTTCCACCCAATGAAAGAGTGGAAGCCGGTGCGGGCAGCCTTTCTGTTGCTGGGAAGGATTTGTCTGCTGTCACCTCCCTCGAGCCGGAAGCAGTCAGTGCCGTTTTGAGTGGGACACAGACGTGAAAGCTGTCTATCTATGCAGTGCTGGCCCTCCGGCGCTCGCCCCACCTTCTTTGTTTGTAGTCCCCATAGACAAGACCAGCCGGCTGGAAACAGCAACTACAAGAGAAGCAGCGCAGCAGCCTTCCAGTGTCTCCTAACCCTCCCTTCGTACAAAGCCATGGCTGGCAGCACCATGCCAGCCTATGACAGGCGGAGCAGATGGGACTCGTCTTCCCCATAGAAATAAGAAGGGAATTCATAGAGCTGGCCGCCTGCATGCACTGCAGTTCTCTGTCAATGTGAGAGCTGCGGCTCCCTGACCCGCCTTTCAAATTGCTTTCTTTTTGTTTTTTTTCTCTTTCACTTTTTATACCCTGCTATTTCCTGTTTTTCCAGTATTTGCTGTGTGTCAGCTCCCACTGTTACTTCCCTGCCATCCCCTCCTTGTATCACCATCATCATCCCCCCCAGGAAAGAAGGAAACTGCTTGGAACCTGCGGGCGGGCGACCATCACTGCACAATGGGATGCTGTGGGAGCACACAGGTAAGAAACCACCCAGTTCATACTCTTTTTTTTTTTTTACAACGCTACAGCCCTTGTGTGCCCTCACTTTGTACGGCTCTGCGGAAGATGTTGGCGCTATAGGAAAAGAATGCATTTGAGGAGTGCCTTTCTTTATACAGACCCCCCGTCTGTGTGTTGTGGCTCAGTTCGCCAAGCTTGACCTCAGGGATAAAGATTTTTTGAATGCTTGGTAAATAAACATCCTTATCCTGGTGTGTTAGGTTTGTGAATTGAGCCAATAGTCAGTGACAGGTAAGTTTGATGACAATTGAATTATTATACAGGATTTATATGGCACCAACAGTTTGCACAGCGCTTTACACACATTTTTTTAGCATGATCTAGGTGCACACATGATTCGGCATGTCACAGAACAGACTTCTCAGGTGCTGCACTTCTACGACTGTTGTTATAGCAAATGACAGCCTTGTGGTATAGTACTGTATATAGTTTTGGCACGCATATGGTATGCCACAGATTTTGGGGTTTCCGATTTCTAGAAATGAAATTTGACTTTATTTGGAGTGCCTGAGCAAGAGCGAACTTGCATGTCAGACTGATACTTGAAGCACCTTGAAATAGGTAAAGCATGTTTAGTGTGAGAAGCTGGCCTTAGACAGTAGATGGCGGGCAGACATGTAGGCAAGATATGTCCGTCCAAGCAGTGCTTCCCTAAACATGAACACTTGCCTTGGGTTTGTGTAGAGGTTTACAGAGAGGGAGGTGCTCAGCAAGCACTTTTTGCCAGTGTTTTGGGTGCAAACAATAGTGATCAAACAGGATTTTAACATTAGTATGAGCGCCAAGGTAAGCCATATCCAATGGCATCTACAGGTTCCCTATTGACATTGGATTGCCATTCAATGTGGCTAACAATAACCAGATTGGAAGACTTGTATCTGATGTCTGTGGGCACTTTATGGGTCAGTTTGCTGCTAATGAGACCGAGTCAAGTAGTCGTATCTATTATATAAACATCAGGGTTTATAAGAATCTATTGGCTATAGATTTTCCAAGAAATTATATATATATATATATATATTGGAAAACTTTATCCATTAGAATATTGGGTTATTAAATTTAGATGATTGTGAGCACTATAAGCAGAAACTTGAAGTAAGGTGTTCTCACTGTGGAGACGTTATGCTTGGCATACAGGGAAGAAAACTGGATGTCATTAGCAAAGGATGTGACCATCAAAAGCCTTCATGTTCTTGACTCGCACACCTACCATAGTCTGCATATTAAATTGGAGATTTGGAGGCTGCGAACACAGTGATAGGTCTTTCCTCTGCCAGACAATGGCAATCACTATGAGAACCTTTCCAGGTTTTTGCTAATCTGGTGTCATTATTTTTAGTTTAGCATGGGGATAAGCATAGCATTCATTTCAATTCAAATACATTAACATCCAAAATTGCTTTCATAAAATTGCTTTCTATGATATTGAAGGCAGTCAAACAGGACAGGAAAGATCTCCATTTCTCTTAGGATTGGTTGACTTGGGTATGTGTCACTGCTAAAAGACATAAAGACGCACATCAAGATTTTTGCCTGATCTTAACATTTCCAGTCAGATAAATGCCAGTCAGATGAATGTCATCTACTTAATGGAGGGTATGAATTTTGTCCAGTTCCTGATGAAACGGCCAAAATTTGCACAGTGGGTGCCGTCGGCAGCACCCTTCTGTCTGGCATCCCTTAATCAGCTGATCGAAAGAGCAGGTTGGAAAATGTTTAGCCAAATGGAGTTAGCAGCCAATCAGTTGCTAGCTCCATTTGAGTATCCTGACAGCAGCCGCTGTCAGAATACAATGCAAACAGCAGTGGATTCGTACATCAATGCTCGTAAGCGTTGATAAATGAATCTGTTCTATTTTTTATTTTTTTTGGATACACAAGCAAAAATAGATGCTTATGTATCCAACTTTAGATTGGTAGATTTAATTGATAATTGTGACGTCTGTCCTTGCAGTGCACTCTGGGCACTGTCATAAGGTGCTGTGTTTAATCCAAGTGCAGTGTAGTGGTCTTTTCCCTTTCTCTATCTAAGAGAAAATTATCAAGTAATTAATTTTTTGTGTGTTTTTGGAATGTTTATCCATCTGATCCAACAGTTGGGACCCATTTCTATGTCACATGTAAGGCCATAATTTATCAAGCTTTGTACTTAGGCACCTACAAGTACCTGGTATAGCATGCCTAAAGTACATCTATCTTTTAATCTTTATTTTGCATACCTTACCTCAGGGCTGGACAAATCCCAGGAGCCAGGTAGCCAATGCTCCTTAAAATGACATATAGCTTGTTGTTATCAGTGGAGCTGACTCCTTAAAAAAATCCTGCTGGTTCTTTATTCTTGTTCATTTGTCAACCCCTGCCGTACCTGATACTGTGGATTGATGAATTAGGGCCTTAGTATGTTTTGCTTGGGGTACTCTTCATCTCTGTGGAAGATGCACTTTTAGGGAACCTCAGCCAAATTAGAGCTATGGAAACAAATGTAGAGGGAAGGCTTCGATATTTAAGAAATACAGTTTTTAAAGTGCATTTGCAGTCAATAATGAGAAACCAGCACTGCATGTTTGTTCTGCCTTTCCATTCACACAGCATACCCCAAAATATTTTAAAACATTTTTTGGAGCAGAATTATGCATGGACTATTGTGAACAATTTCTGAGGGACCAAGAGGGACATACTTGGTTTCACTGCATTAGCATACAACGAAGAACCTTCCTGGCCTTTAACCCTTTTGTTAGGACAGACCGTGTTGAAATAGAGTGTAAAAACTAAGATCTGCCAGCACAGTACAGACAAGGTAATCATGGTAAACAATAACTCTACATCCCCCCCCCCTTCTTTCTTAACATTACATAGGGAAGCTAAGTAGGATGTTTAAGCAAGTATACAGCACTTTAAAAAGTAAACAGCAATTTGTAAATATTTTTTTTTCAAGTTCTGCAATGTAAATGAAAACATGTAACACATAAAGTAGACATTATCTCAAAGTGGATGTAGGATGTCAAACTTGAATTCAGGGGTGTAGACATTTTTTTTAAAAACTACTTGTTCAAGGACTAAAGCGGGGACCCAAGCTGCTTGTTTCTCATGACAATCCTCTTGTCATAAAAAAAATTTCACAAAGCAGCCACCGCTCATATTCCTTTGTCCTGTGGTCACACAACCCCCATCCCTCTTGTCGGTGCAGGCAAAAAAACGGCACACTGTAGCTTGATACCATTTGCGCACAAACGACTGGTATCAAAAAGCTGGATACTGTTTATTCCCGAAGTCAAAACATGCTGTAAACAAACACACAGGTTCCTCCAGATCTAACTTGTTCCACCAAACTGCTTATTCATAGAATCCACACAAAACAACGACCAACCAAAACTGTAGTTAACCATGCTAAGAAGTGCTTCTCATTGGTCAGGGACCTCACTGACCAACGAGTGCTCGCAATTTGCCAGGAAATGCAAAATCCATGTCGGTATGGATAGTATACCGGCGGAGGGAAAGGACCATACCCAAAAGGTAAGTATAGTGGGGTAGGGGGGGAAAGGGGACCAGATTTGAGCCGGTAATTCCATTTTCCAAAATCACCTTTGATGCACATCATGCGTATTAGAGAGTGCTGCTCGGCTACCACTACATGGCACACTGGAATGGGGTCAGCACTCGCGCACACACACAATGCCCTGCACGGGCGTTTATTAGCAAGCAGATGGCGAGGGCGGCAGGGTTGGTTTTAATTATTTTAAATTTGTATTTATTTTATTATTTTTTTTTTTTTACTTTTTTATCACTTAACTTTATTGCTATCACATAGGGGCTAACAAGCCCCTATGTCAGG